AAGGCAAAATCCTCTGAGTTGAAAAACACTGGCACAGACATATAGATCAAAGAGAACAGAGAGTGCAGAAATGCTACCCAAATGGTTAACTGATTTTTTGACAAAAATGCAAAAGCAATTCATTGGGAAAAGATCATTTTTATAATAAATAATATTAGAATAACTGGATTCCATATGCAAAAATAATAAACTTTTTTTTTCAGTACTGGCAATGGAACTCAGGACTTTGGACTGAGCTACATTCTCAGCTCTTTTTATTTTACAAAAATCCCCAGGCTAAGTTCGAATTTATGATTCTGCCTCAGCCACCTGAGTGCTAGGACTACTCCACTATGTGCAACCACACACTGTGAAAGCCATAGATTTTTTTTTTCTTTTGAGACATGGTCTCACTATGCAGCTCAGGCTGGCCTTAACCTCACTTTGTAGCCAGGGCTGGTCTTAAACTTGTAATGATTCTCCTGCCTCAGCCTCCCAAGGGCTGGGATTATAACATGTACCATAATGGCCAGCTAAAAGCCATAGTTTTGTTTTTTTTTTTTTTTAGAAAATTAATCCAAAAAAAGGGGCTGGGGATTTATATCAGTGGCATAAGCGCTTGCCTTGCAAGCACGCAGTCATGAGTTTGATTCTTGGTACCAAAAAAAAAAAAAAAAAAAAAATTAAATCTAAAAATCAATTAAATAAACAGATAGAGCTGGAGGTATAGTTCAGTGGCAGAGCATATGCTTTGTATGCACAAGGCCCTGAGTTCAATTCCCACTACCACCCTTAAAAAATAAACAGGTAAATTGACATTCACCAAAAGTGAAAACTGCTCTGCAAAACACAAGCTAGTCCTAAGAGAAAATATCTATATGGTTGATAAAAGAACTGTATAAAGAATACCTAAAGAACAATTCAATAAGAAAATTCAATGTTTACAAATTGAACAGGAGAGAACCAGGCATGGTGGCACACCTCTGTAATCCCAGCACTTGAGAAAACTGAGGCAGGAGGATTGCCACGAGTTCAAGATCAGCCTGGGCTATGTAGTGAGTTAAAGGGCAGTTAAAAGGATAGACAAGTACTGAAAAAGGTGTGTGGCAAGTGGGCCCCTTTTACACTGCTCGTGAAAATAAAAATAAAGTAGTACAATCACTTTGAAAAATAGTTTTGACGATCCTCAAAAGTTTAAACATAGGCCAGACATGGTGGCACATACCTGTAATCCCAGCTCTGGGAGGCCAGCCTGGGTACACAGTGAAACCCTGTCTCAAAATAAGGAGGTTAAGTAGGACCAGTAATACATCTCTGTAATCCTAGTGACACAGCAGGCAGGAGGACTGCAAGTTCCAGACTAGCCCAGGTAACTCTGCGAGTATCAAAATTTAAAATAAATTGAAAAAAGACCCAAAAGAGGTTGGGCATGGGCATGTTGCTCAGTAGTACAACACTCCTGATCCAATCTGCAGCATCACAAAAAAAGAGGGGGTTAAATAGGTATCTCAGGTATATAGCCAATCCACACAAAACTGTACATAAATGTTCACAGCATCATTATTCATAACAGTCAAAATGAATAATGAATAAATTAATGAACCACCTAAATGTTCATCAATTTATGAAAAGATAAATTGTATATATAGAAATATATACAGTATATATATTATATATATATATATATGATATGAAGAACTTCAAAAATATTATGCTAGGTCAAGCCTGACCCACACACACAACCTACATAATTGTATAATTCTATTTTTTTTTTTTGTCTTTTTCTCTTTTATCGGTACTGGGGATCGAACTCATGACCACACACCTGCAAGGCAGGCGCTTATGCCGCTGAGCTAAATCCCCAGCCCCTATAATCCTATTTATATGAAATGTTCAGAAAAAGCAAACTTTACAAGACAGAAAGCAGATCAGTGATGGGGTAAGGTGAGAAGATAGAGACTGACCACAACAGGCACCAAAAAATTCAAGGGGGAGAAATTTCTAAATTGATTACACCAGTGTTTATGCAATACTATCAATTTACTAAAAATTGAGTCATATGTTTACAATGAATGAGTTGTACAGTACACAAATTATATCCTGATAAAACTGTAAACAAGCAAGGTGTGGCAGCACATGCCTACAATCTCAGCTACTCAGGAGACTGAAGCAGGAGGACCACAAGTTTGAGGCCAACCTGGGTAACTTAGGGAGACCTTTTCTCAAAACTTAAAAAAATAAAGAAATAAAGTAAATGTTATTAAAAACTCATGCTGGCCGGGGATTTAGCTCAATGGCATAAGCACCTGCCTGGCAAGTGCGAGGTCATGAGTTCAATTCCCAGTACCGCAAAAAAAAAAAAAAAAAAACTCATGCTGGGGCTGGCGATTTACCTCAGTAGCATAAGTGCCTGCCCAGCAGGCACCATAACATGAGTTTGAGCCCCAATACAAAAAAAAAAAGCTCCCTAAAACCGAAAAACTACTTATGCCAAGCACTGTTGCAGTGCATTCTGAAAGTTCTATGAAGAAAACCAGTATTACAGGGATGTTTAAGAAAAGTACTAGCACCAGGCTGGGGATGTAACTCAATGGTAGTGAACCTAACATATTTAAGACCCCCGGATTCAATTCCCATAGCACTACAAACAAACAGCACCCTTGATACCTTCTCTTTGACATAATCAACAAAACAGAAACCTGAAAGGACATTTTCTCATAAAGCTGACTGGCCCATTGGGAGAATCCCCTCAAATCACCAACATCTCTGCAGACCCAGGTCCACACTCAGGGAAACACAATGAAGTACTAGTAGAGTGCCTTCTGTCTAAAATTGACCCTCCCTGACCCAGTGGTCTTCTGGGAAATCGGGAAGCACCACACACAGGAAGATCCTGAGATCTCATGCAAGGTGAGACGACCAGGGATGAATAATGACACTCATCACCCACACAGCTGGAATCCCAGCATTCAGGAGGCTAAGACAGGAGGACTGCCCTGAGTTTGGGGCCAGCCTTGGTTACAGTGAGTTCAAGGCCCTCCTAAATTATATAGCAAGTCTCAAAAAAAAAAAAAAAAAAAAGACATTACCCCAAAGAATTAGAACAGTAAGGGGAAAAAATACTAGCTAGAAAGGGCAGCCTTTGGACTGGGCAGGGCTAGACCATGCTATCTACCGCAGCACTATAACCTAGGTAGTCAATGAGTTTCACCTGCAGGGTCAGTGCCAATCAATTAGTGGGCAACTGGCTGGAGGGTTCAGTAATGAATTCTGAAACCAAGTGTAGCCTCAGTGGGAAAAAGCCTCAGGAGCAACTGCCAACGTCTACCCCAATAGAACGAGAAAGTGGAGCTATTAATGCCATGTGTTTGTTTTTTGTCCAATTGTCCAAGTGAAGTGACAATAAAAATGCTCAGCCAAGTAACAGAGATGGCTCAGTGAACTTTCTGATATGTTAAGCCACTGTGAACTGCTGTTTGGGTCACAGCCAGTTACCTGTTTTCCTTTTTAAGGAAATTACAGCACCTAGTATCTGCTGAAAATTTCTTACATGTCATGCATAGTTCATAATATACATATACTATCAATCCATTTCACAAATGAGGAAATTAAGTGGAGGAGGGGAGGGTTTAGGTACTTTGACTAAGGTCACTCAGCCAAAGACCAACAGGAAGAACACAAGTGGAGAGGTTAATAACAAATAACTTCTTTTCTGGTCTGAGGTTATCAGCCCTTAGAGACCCCGAAGCAGTGATGGTGAACCTTTTACAGCTTTCAATATACAAACAGCTTGCTGCAGCATGAGTGCCATAGGTCCATCACCATAGCTGTAGAGGAATGCCCAGGGGCCACAGCCTCACACCAGGCCAAGCTGCCCTATCTTGGTGCCTCCACATAAGCAGGCAATGGAAATCTCCCTGCACTGTAGGCAACAGTGCGCTCTGGTCAGCTGCCTAACCCTTTTCAACTGCCCTCAAACTGTGCCAGTTTCCCACCCTTGCATCCCTGTGTCCTCCTACCCCTTTTCCCCCTTTCAAAATCAACACAAAACACTTTCTCAAACTTGAGTGGACATCAGACTCAGCTGGGCCATGGATTTAAAATAGAGGATGCTAGGCGCCAGCAGGTCTGAAGCAGGGCTGGGAATGTTTCACAAACTGATGGAGCGGGGACCACAAGACAAGGAAACCAGGAGGGTATGGGGGGGGCATCTTTCTTCTCTGCTTTCTATTGCAAATGGCCCTGAGAAGATGTCCAGTGAGGAACTAAAGCTAAAAGTTTGGTCGGACCACACTCATCAAGGCACCAAACAATAGAAACAGGCTTCTCTGGGAGTAAAACAACTGATCCTAGCCCTAGCTGTGCCTCTATCCAGCTCTGAGACCTTAGAAAGTCACTTTTTTCTAGGGACGTAGGAACCTCAGCCAGACACCGACAGGTCTCCGCCAGCTCTTTTCCACCCTGGCCGAAAGTCCTGGTACTCTCAGCAAGGACCCCTGGCTCTACTCTCTCAATCACAATCATCTGCCGGGTTTGCGGGGGGGACACAGTTTCCTCACCCGCACACCCAGAAAGCCAACCCTGAGATGAGATCGAATACTAAAGTGCCCAGACTCTGAGCCAGGTATTCACACCACGCCTCCAAAGACAGCAAAACCCAGCCTCCGCCGTGATTCAATCTTCACAGCACACTTTATAAACACAAGCGATGCGCCAGGCCCCGCACTAAGCAACACGCCCAGACCAACAGAGGCCGCGCCACGCGACTCGCCCCAAGGTCAAGAGCCAGGAAGGAGCTGCTTCGGATTTGACTCTGGACAGTCCGTCCCGGGCCCAGAGCACGCATCAGGCTAGAGGACAAGGGCGGCAGAGGGCTTCCCGCGGATGCCCGGCAGGAAGGGTCCGCGGCCGCGCAGGGTGCCTCTATATCTCTTCTCATCACCCCTAACCCCCCGCTCCATCCCTAGTCCCGCGCCGCGCCTCCAGGCCCGCGTTCCAGCCGCGCCTGGCAGGAAGCTCACCGGACTTCGGAGGGTAGCGATAGGCGGAGTTCGCCTGGATGTCGATGTCCTCCACCCCCGCGATGCGGCGGCTCAGGATGGAGCCCATCATGAAGGCACCGGCGGGGACTTGGGTGGTGGCAGCCGTGAAGTCCTCACGCGGACATGGCCAAAACCAGGCCGCACGGACGCACGGACACACGGACACAGCGGTGCCTTGATCCAAGCCCCCACCCGGACTGGCCGGGTCAGACGCCGTGGCGCCCCGCCTTCCAGCCCGCAGCTCCCCGGGAAATGGAGTCCGCTCCGCCCGGCTGCTCTGCGACAGGGCGCTGGGAGCGCGCCTGCGCACTACGCCTCCCAGATTGCCCCTCGCGGAGAACGGTCAGCCTGGGACTACCAAGCGGCGCACGCGCGTGAAGGAAAGGTCTTGGCCATAAGCAGGAGGGGCTTCTCTCCCAGGCCAAGAGCGGTGCTGGTCCCGTAGAACCTCCGTCAGTTCGAGAGCTATTTATGCGTATACCCTTTTGGGGACCCAGCGCCTCCTGTTTACCCCATGTCTGAAACATCTCCCGGAGGCACCTTGCTTCTCCCCAGTTCCTAAGGTTCATCTGCCGCCCAGTCAGCAGAGGGCACACCTTTCCTGGTGCACAGAAGAAAACTAGAGTGGACCCCAAACCTCCTGAGGTAGTGTACACAGAGCACGCATGCACCAGAGTGAACCTTGGCCAAAACCCAGTGCATCGCTCCGGACCCACAATTGTCCAGACCATTACTCTCGGGATACAATTTTACAGCCCCTACCCCGCAAAGGCAGTAGACGTCTCCCCACTTTATACCAGGGAAACTGAGGTACATAGTATGTGCTAGAAGCAAATTTCTAAGAATCAGGATCAGGATTGGAACCTTGAAGTTCAAAAGGTATTTCCTGGCTTTCAACGTACACACACATCTATGAGGACGCCAACTTGAAGCCTGTTTGTACCTTTCTCATTTGAGGATCTGGGGTTCCAAGAAGTGTGTTTACCTAGTCAAGACTGCTGTGCCAACTGAGATTAGTGACAAAGAGTCTTAGATGTCAAGTTCTCCACAGCTAATTAAAATCACATTAAAATACTTTTATCTAGGGCAGGGGATGTAGCTCAGTGACACAGTGCCCACCTGGCAAATGTGAAGTGGTAAATTTGATCTTCAGTACAAAAAAAAAAGTATTCCTACCTTTCCAAGGAAACCAGGATCCAGTGGTCATTATTGCTGAGAAATCCAAATGACCAAAACAGAACTTCTGTGACTGAGGAGAGTCCAGGTCTTGGAGGTAGCTAGTTTAACTTCCCTGCCCCTTCAACCAAGATGCACACTTCTGAGCACTTGGTATAGTCCAGGGTGGTGTGCTGGGGTCTTTGCACACAGTCCCTCATTTAAAATTTCTCTAAGATGCATCCTAATAAAATAAAAAATTTAAAAGTCTTGGAGTTCTAGTTGAATTCCCAATTTACAGAAAAGGAAAGTAAGGCCAGAGAAGTTCCCACTCTAGCTGATTGCACAGCAAAAGCCAGCAAGGATCATTAAAATAATAAATTTTTTTAAAAGCTGGCAAGGCTGAGATTTACTCTTACCTAAGGGACCTTTCTGTGTCCCCAGATGCCTCAAACCTCCTCTGGCAATATTGTTCTGTGCTTATCAAACTCAGTTTGGAAACATGTCTTTCCTGATTTGATTTGTAGTTCCCCTATCAACATCTTGGGTGGTTCATTTACTTAATCAATAAATATTTATCATACAACTACTGTGTGACAAGTGACAAGCAAGACAACAGGGATCAAAGGTAGAATATGCTAGAATCAGAGCCCGAAAGTTAGTTTGGTAAGAGAACTTTCCACTGATTGGTCATATGAACTTTGGCAACTTCTTCAACCGCCGTGGCTCTCAGGTAAGACACTCAGTTTGTTAAGAAATCAAAGTCCACCCTCCAGCCAGGTTGATCCTAGCTGAAAACAAGATTGTTTTTTTTCTTCCCTGCCAGACCTGGGAAAACAAGCTGGCTGAGATGGTGCACTGGAGGCCAGCAGGGTGACCTTTGTCCCTGCCAGCCTTGTCTGCTCCAGCCCTGCAAAGCAGGCTGGTCTGGGAGAATTCCTTCAGGGCTGGACAAGCCTGCGCAGGTATGGAGGTAGAAAGTGGGTAGCAGGTGGGAGGAGGCTCGGTAATCAAAAACAGCCCCCAGTAAACCCTGCCAGGACAACACCCACGCTCCATTGCTAGAAACACATTCTACTGGACCACGGGACACCAGCTATTTTCCATTGGCTCTGAATGATAGTAACGCTGGTTTCCAGTCTCGGCTTCCTTATCTGTAAAAGTGGTTCAGATGAAGGCAAAAGGTTATTAAGAACAGGTACACCCATCACCAGGCCTTATACTAAGCACTTCCCAGTTGTGAATACCCCACACCAGCACTGGGAGAGCTCAGAGTTTTGCAAAAGAGAAAACCAAAGCTACAGGAAAAAAGACTGACAGATCTGTTTCCCTCTCAAACCTGCCCACCTTCGACCATGCTGTGTTGCAGTGCCCATGGTAACAATAGAATTAGAAGTCATACTCAGAGCCTTCTCTTACCGTATGCTGACCTTGTGCTAAGCACTTAGTTCATATTAATTCATGCTTATGATGCTTCACAGAAATAAGGGGCGATTCTCAGCAACAACGGTAATATTTTGCACCAGGATTTGCAAAAATTTCTATTGCCCTTTTGCGATTCCACCAAAGCAGGAAAGAGGATGAAACTCCATTTCCTGTGGATAGAGGCCTGCTGCCACGACCAGGTACCTGTCTATGGAAGTGGAACGCTCAGTGTCTACTTCCAGCTCTAGTCTTCAGAAGCCTGATCCTTCGCCAGCTCTCTCTAGATCTCACTCATATCCCTCCCTATCCTAGAACCTTTTAGGTGTTGTTCACTAATAGCCCCAGTATCCTTCCATTGGCCCCTGGGAGAGACACTGGCTGGGTTCAGGAGTCCTGACAGAGCTCTCCGTAACACCGCAAGCTGCTCAATTCCCAGTATCTACCTTACTTACTGGAACTTAAACTGTGAGCCACCATTTGGACTGCACATTGTCAAGACTACAGTAATAGTGACTGGAACAACTGATCAGATCTATGATAAACCTTTAATGGCCCTTAGCCCACTCCCAAGGCCTGTGCTTACTTTCTTAGGGTACTTTCCATACTAGCAGTTTTATACTTGTGCTTGGGATTTCCAACATATACTCCTCTGCTCCTTGCCCTGGGCCTGGTTTTGCTCCTCTACAGCCCAGAGCCAAGTCAAAGCCAGGTACAGAACAACAGGTACAGGTTAACATGAAATTGGGGCCAAAAAAATTGAGGCCAAGAAGCACAAAGAATCAGGCCAAGATCACGCAAATTAACAAAACCGCGAGCTTCACCCACTGCCTATGGCTGCCGCCAACCCCAACCAGCCTCGCAATCTGTCCCACCCGCTACGTCAACCGGAAGTGGCATGTGCGGGTCTGTAAACACAACCCGCAATGCCCCACCCCCGCCTCAGCCCCGCCTCCGCATGACACGTGACGCGCCCCCGCCCGCCCTCACGGCTGCCTCATTGGGCTACCAGCTTTGTTTACCTTATATGGCCAGGTCCTAACACCCTGTGGCAGCCCATTGGCCGAGGAACGACCTCTCTCAGTTGACGTCACCCGGGACAGAAAGATGCAAATAAACCGATGCATTATGGGAAGGTAAGTCCAAAGCGGCTCCGGAACTGGTTCCGCGGGGTCCTAACGTCCCTGTACTCAGAGCTAGACTTTCTGGCGTACAGTACGATCTGTTTGCGGGGGAAAGTGGTCACTGTACGGACGGTGACCCCAAAACGCCAGAAACTATAGGCCTCGTCGGCCTGTCCTCGGCACCGACCCTATCTCGAGACAATCCTCCTTTCCACCTGGTCGAGAACCAGATTGGGGAAGGCAAGGCGAGAATGCTTTGGGAGACTCTGAAAGCTTCCTGGAGGAAGTGACATTGAGCGGCGCCTGGAAGGGCCGACTCCCTAGTTCACTGGATATTTATTGGCGCCTACTGTGTGTTGAGGCTTAATGAAGCGTATTTGGGCCAGAATTACTGGGGTCTCCGCTCTCTAAGGGCTGCAAAGTCCACGAAACCCGGAAACCTAGCGTTTGCGCCCACTTTGTGATCTGCGGGACACTCCGTAGGCTTTCAGCTACCAGACCCGCCCTCGCAGCCCGCCCGGCGGCGGGGGCGTCGCGGACTACAGGTCCCAGCATGCCCCGCCGGCCGCCGGGGCCGCGAGGCGCGGCGAGTCAGAGCGCACGGTAAATATTTGTATTAGCCGGAGCCGGCTCGCTAATGGTGGACGCGTGAGGCGCGGCGCGAGCGCGCAGGCGGCCGGAGCGGGCAGCGCGGCGGCGCCATGTCGGTGAACATGGACGAGCTTAAGCACCAGGTCATGATCAACCAGTTCGTACTGACGGCGGGCTGCGCGGCCGACCAGGCGAAGCAGCTGTTGCAGGCGGCCCACTGGCAGTTCGAGGTGCGCGCGGGGCGGGCGGCATGGACACGTGCCGGGGGCGCCTCCCAGATCGGGCAGAGGGCTCTATCCGCCGGCCCGCCGGTCAGGCCGGCGCCCGCAGCCCAGTGGTCCACTTGTAGACCCCCCCCCCTTTGTCCGGGTAACGGCCGAGGGCGGGGCGGCGGCTGGCCGGAAGAAGGACGCCCCAGCCGGGCCGGGCCGAGGGCGGAGCCGCCCGGCGGCTTCTGGTCCGTGTGCTCGGTGGGCGGCTTGCGCGTGTGCGTATATGTACATGTGCATTTGTATTTACGCACGCACTGCGCTTGGCGTCAGCGGGGCACATCGAGGGTTGTGGGCATGTAGGTGCGTGTGCGGACGCGTAGTCCGCCCAGCCGCGTGTCAGGTACGAGGTAGTTGTGTGTCATGTTTCGAGTATGTTCAGCTTGTGTATTTGGGTCGGTTTGTAGAGAGTATCATGCCCAAATCTGTGCGGTATGTGTATGCATACCCAACGTGGAGTGTATCGGCAGTGACTGGAGCCCCACATTACAGTGCAGATGTTTGTGCGTGTATACACAGAGGTGTGCCTGTGGGTCGTTCTGCGGGTCTAGGTACCCTCTGGGCTGGGAGAGGAACCTGTGCCTTTGGGGCTGCTCTAGAAGTGGTGTGTGGGTCAGTGGCACAAGCCATTTGGGCAGAAGATAGGGCTGCCCCTCTCGGGCTTTTACCCCACCTACGAGGTCTTTGCTCA